TGCTGAGTGCTGCCGCCAAAAGTCCTGTCAGGGCGAGAATCACAGAAGGCAAATAGAATTATGTCCCCACCATCCTTAAGCACGACGAATTCGCCGTCATCGGCCACCTTGTACACGGCAGGTTTGGCCTTGGCTCCAAGTCCGAGAGTCATGTAGCCACCTAGACCACTGAAGGCGCCCATTCCCATAGCGCTTATTCCTGTAGAGCCTGATGCAGGTGGAGGCGCTGGCAGGGCAATTTCGGTCGTTGACATCATCGGAAGTTTGAGTAAGACATGCTCGGTATGGGTGTACGACAGAACCAGAGTGGTGGACGTCGAGAAGACAATTGAGCGAGGGCTATGAGGGAGATTGAGTTCCTAGAATAAACATTACAGTGATCAATGGTGTCCTGTTAAAGTGGTCAGGTCCCAAGCTATCCCACCTTGACCTCCTGGGCCTCTCCATCTTTCCAGGTGTAGATGACGATCTTCCTTTTGCATCCAACCGCCAGTCGAGTGACGACGCTCGGCACACCTTGACTAGCATTCGAAGCAGGATCCGGAGCTTCACTAGAGTACTGCATTGACGTGTCAATGCCGAATGACAATGCTCCTTTGGCCTGCGTCAGGAGGGTTGGTGGTGCAAATGTTGGTGAGGGATACAATGTTACTACTCCGTCTAGCGATACGTAGTAAATAGACGCAATACATAAGCCTTTGTATGTATGGTAGAGAATGGTACTCACCAGTGAGGACCACGAGGGAGTTGACATCCTTAATATACCCCAGTTGCTCGATTGCTCGCCGACCCAGTGCCTTCTTGCAATCCTCGAAGGCAGCTTCAAGCTGACCGTCTGAAGTCAAGAGTAAGTCAATCGTAGAGACCGCGATTCGGCGGTGCTATTGCAACCTCACCATTGGACTTCGCTAGTGCATAAATGTGAACGTTGCCTGTTGAGGTGCCCAGATACAATCTGTCCGCTTTCCAGTCAAATGAGGACGTTTCTCAAAAGCACAGCAATCTTGTCCTACCGTAACTTGTTATAGACTCGATACGCTCTTTGAAGCCATGAATAAGAGGATGACTGCTGAACGGCGGCATGCGACGATGGTAGAGTAATCCCTATGTTTACGCGTCAAGATTGCAATGCTCGTCCCACGTGCTTCTCGGTGACCGTTTACAACAAGATTTGAGCACTCCAGGAGATGCTGAATGCTGGCTCGAAGAAATATAGCACAAAGACGGACATGAAGAGGGGGAGGGGTTTGATAATTGACGACGGCAGTAATGGAGGTACATTTCGCAAACGCGCCGACACTACAACTCCGCTTTCAGCGACCTCGAACTGAAAGCCAGTAAATCTAACGCAGGACCATAAGCTAAGCTCTAATGAGAGTGTCCACCCTCCTCCACGCTTTCCATCTGCGCTTGCTGAAGTTTGTAGACTGTGCAAAGACATGCCATCAGCAACCGGAGCCATCTCACAAAAAACGCAAATAGAGGACCTACCGTTGCCACACTCCGGGCACCGGGTGTTCTCGCGTTCAGTGGAGGCAGCGAGCCAAATGGTGTCATGCGAGTCGACGGGGAAGCCGGTGCACCCAATCTGCCTGTATTTCGACTGCATCACGGAGAAAACCGGGTCAGCACCAAATTCGCTCTTGTTGAAATAGTGGCGATTGGGGAAAGTTGAAAACCCCTATAGAAACGAGGAGGGCGCTGAAATGGCAAGCGAGTCGACTTACAAAAGTAGGGACGATGATTGGGTCCTTCAGCGTTCCTTGTCTGGTAACCAAAATGCCTTGCATGTCGAACACGTCCACGCCCTTGTGCTGTCCCAAGACTTGGTATCGCTCAAGACCAGTAGCCTGGTTCTCGTCCGTGGCGACTTCACCGGCCTTGGCTCCGGGGCCGACGCTGATAACTGGAGCATGGTGGTCGCCGTGATGGTCGGCAGAGCGAATGCGAGCTGTCGCTGACAGGGCACGGATTGAGGTAGTAGAGAATGAAGTTGGCTTGACAGCCCGAGATGCGACGGCACGGAAGGAGCTCAGCATATTCATGGCTGATGAGTTTTAATGGGGAGAGAAGGGGTCGGGAGAGAGTTAGCTTTGGGTGAGAGTCGGGTAGTCGGGTGAAATTGCAAGAACCGAGAAACCGCGGGAATTCTCACGTACGCTGACGAACATTCCACCGTTAGCGCCTTTATAATGAGTGGAGAGCTTGATTTAAACTACCCCTTTGTATGCTCTTCCACCGCCCTCCGCATCCCATACTTCTGTCCACTAAGCTCAAGAGAATGGCATCCTCTAAAGTACCAATTTCACGCCTCCCACTCCCATCGTCAACTCATATCCTTACCCACAACCTGAACCCAGATCCAGTCGCAAAGAACATCAAGGAGCTGGTCGAACTAATTAAAACACAGCCATCGGTGCTGAGGAAGTCGAGGGCAGCGCATGAGTCGGCACATTTCTTCTACATGACCCCTCTTCCTTTGGGATTTCCCTACAACATCCGGCCTCCACCAGACGACATCACGAAAGAGGAGCGCGCTGCTTACGTCGAAAAGGTCATTTCATTGTTCGAGCCGCTATCAGAAGCTCCTCTCGCTCCCTCCGCCGGAACCACTTCTCAATCTGACCTCAAGAAATATCACTCCTTGGAACGGGAACATCACCCTAGAGAGCTCCTCTCAGTAGCCCCAACTTGCTTGCGGGACTGCTTCCCTGAGCTCGACGTTGGCGACTCTCTCCATGTCATAGGGGATCAGCAGCCAAAAGCCAAGATTGAGGAGCAGGGTAGCACATCCATAGAAGCATCCAAGGCCGCTCGGGAAGAGCTTGTCGACATCCTCTCCGGGAACTCAGTTTTGATGTCCGTCCCTCCAGAAGGCCACGACGACCGGGGATATGCTCCATGGTCACTACGATATTCGGGGCATCAATTCGGCTCATGGGCTGGCCAGTTAGGAGACGGCCGAGCCATCTCCATCTGTGAGTTATGTTCACTTTTGCATCCTGTTGTGGTGACTGAGACACTTTGCGTGAAACGCAGTCGAAACCCCACTACCTAGCGATCCAGATACAACGTTTGAACTGCAACTGAAAGGTGCCGGAAGGACGCCCTTCAGTCGTGGCGCAGATGGACTGGCGGTGCTTCGGAGTTCTGTGCGCGAGTATCTAGTCGCAGAAGGTCAGTTCCGCGTTATATCCATTGTGTTTTTTGGCATTATTCTTGTTACTTAACGGTAGAATGTTCCCAACAGCTATGCAGGCCCTTCGTATCCCAACAACCCGCTCTTTGTCTTTGATTTCTCTGCCAACCATACGCGTCTATCGTGAAGAGGTCGAAACAGCCGCGATCGTTTGCCGTGTTGCTGAATCGTTCATTAGAATTGGCAACTTCCAGGCTCTTAACTCTGAACAGCCAGACGCGTCATATATGTTCCTCGGGTCCAGTGGCGGAGCCTTCGCTCAACAGCCTCCAAACTACGAGGCACTTCGCGTCCTCGGAGAGTGGGTAACGCGTCGGGTGCTTAAGTTGGATGTAAAGGAAGGAGAGCCTTGGGCCAAGAAGCTGGTATGGGAGTGCGCTCGGCGGAATGCGCTCATGGTCGCTGGTTGGCAAGCGCAAGGATTTATGCACGGCGTGATGAACACCGACAACATCAGTATTATGGGCCTGACAATTGACTACGGACCATACGCTTTTATGGATATATTTGACGAGGGGCATATTTGCAACCACACCGATGAAGGTGGCCGATACGCCTACAAGTACCAACCTACCATGATGTGAGTGACGTATGTCGTCGGCGTTGTCTTCCAGCAGCTGATTTTCTCGCTTAGAGTATACGCCATTCGCATGCTTCTAAAATCCTTGGGGCCCGTCATAGGATATGAGTTGGAGCACGGTAAAGCGGTCGCTCCCGGGTGGGCTAGAGATATACCAAAAGGGAAGCTCAAGACCTGGACTGCTGAAGCAGAGGAGGCTCTTTCAGACGACTTGGAGGTTTGCATCATGGAAACTTTCGCAGACGAGTATTGGGGGCTCATGCGCCAGGTGCGTTTTTCTGCTTTCCCTATTCCTGTTAGTGTCTGGGAGGCACGGATTTACTAAACTCTTTTACCGTCTGCAGCGGCTGGGCCTTCGGACCTCGCAGATTAAGGATCACACCGAAATCATCCAACCTCTCCTCGCCCTCATGCAGAAGCATTCGATGGACTTCCATGCCACTTTCCGTCACCTTACGACCTTCAGGGCATCATGGATGTCACCTCGGACCCCTGATATGCCCCTCGGGAACGATGCCGCCGATCCATTGGACGGTTTCCTCCAAACGTTATTACCTTCAGACTCGGCACAGCCAATCAATCTCCCCGCGGCTACAAAGGAATGGCTTGAGTATCTCCAGACCTACGCTACCCGAATCAATCTCGCAGAGGAGCAGGCGGCCTGGAAGGAATTAGTTGGTGAAACCAAAGCCGATGGCACCCCGTCTGGTCTGAATCAAGAATGGGAAGCGATCCGAGAAGCACACGCGAAACAATACAATCCGAGATTCGTTCTTCGCCAATGGGTATTGGAAGATCTTATTTCGACGTTGCAAACGGAGGCAAAGGACGCAGACAATCGAGATCTAGAAAAGCCAACCAAAGGACGAGACGCTCTGAACAAAATCTTGCGTATGTGCACAGAGCCTTTCGGAGGTTGGGGTGCAGAAGGAGCTTCCGGCGAGGCTCTCACTGACGAGGAAAAGGAGGAGAGGAGGTTATGTGGGACCGGACCGAAGAGTCTCATGGGATTCCAATGTTCATGCTCTTCTTAGAATATCTCCTCGCTGTAATGGCTTCCCAGATCAGCCAGGTTTTGATATTGTTTGGAAATGAAACAACTGTCTTGGTGCTAGGCAGATACGCGATAGCTTGTTGGGAGCAGCTAGCCTGGACAAACAAGATAGACTATACCTCAAGGGCACATCCAAGCTGCGGTTTACCATTGTCTAGAGGCAAAAATGTCCCTGTTCGGGATCGAACCGAAGACCTAGTCCGTTTCTCGTATTTGTTCAAAGACCAAATGCGTGTAAAGGACGCGTGATAACCACTACACCACAGAGACAATTGGGAATCGTAAAGACCTCAAAAATTTATGTCCTTTGATTAAGCTGCCCTCAGTCTGACCACCTGGATTTATAATGTCCACGCAACTCTTACGGCTCTCACAAGGCAGTATCACACAGTGCCCCGATGAACACGCTTCAAAATAGTCGAAAGCGAGGCGATATATTAAATGCCTAGCTACTCTACAGCTCATCCTTTATCCGGTCTTTGAAGGCTTCCATCAATTCTGTGCGAGGAATTTTGTGAGCCACGTCACCGAAAGTGGGTGCACCACCTCTATACTTACTTGTACGCATGGCCTTTGATATTGATGTTGGGAGGACAACGTTGTATTCCACGAAGAGATCACCGTAGCCCCTGCCTTCAAATACGGGCATGCCCTCTCCCACAATAGTTTGCACAAAGCCTGAGTGGTGATGTCAGAACCCGAGTCGGAGGTCGGCGGGTGAAGAGTTGTGCTAACCGGGCTGTGTGACGCCTGTCCGCTTTACGCGGACGACGTGGCCATCAAGATGCGTAATGTTGCGTTCGAAACCCAATAGTGCCTACGAACACCCATCGTAAGAATCTATCAACCGTAGCTACTGGAAGGCCGGGCTCACCTCTTCGATACCGATAGTTTCGGTCCAGTAAAGACTCTTTTCCTTTCTCCTGAAGCCGCCCTGGACTTTTTTGCTCCTCACCCGAAGGACGATGTCACCAGCCTCCCAATCTGGGCTTTCGTCGCCTTCTCCCTCAAATGTGACCTCGTGGCCTTCTGGCAGACCCTTCATTACATCCAAAGTGTAGTGCTGGGTATGTTCAATGACCTTGCTCCCCTTACAATGAGGGCAAACTTTCGTGATAACTTGACCTTGGCCATTGCACTCGTCACATCTAGATGAACAGAGAGTTTAGATGAACGTCGGCCATGGGTAGGTTTGAGCGAGCCTCACGTCATCTGCACGTGAGTGAACATTCCGGGGAAAACTTGTTGTCTACCGATCTTGATACCCTGTCCGTTGCAACCAGTGCAAGTATGAATGCCTACATGACGAGTATTTAGCATGAGACAAAGGTGGGATGGGATTGTGCTTACTGTCATGTCCCGGTGCTGCACCAGATCCTCGGCAATGGTCGCAGAGAATCTTCTTCCTGACGTTGAACTATATCGAGAAAGCAAACCGGTTAACCAAGGCAGCAAAGGTGTTAACAGGGACTTACTTCGACGTGATTGCCCTTGTAACTGAAGGGGCCCGCTTGTCAGTGAGGAGGAGTGAAACATAGCAACACAATACTCACATGTCGGATAGATTGACGTCAAACTCAGAGAGCATTGTAGGCCCTCTTCGAACTTGTTCGCGACCCGCTATGCATCACGACCCGATTAGCCAACTTTCCTGCGAGCCCTCAGGGCGAACATCGCTTACGTCCACCACCGAAGAAGTTGGAGAACATGTCGAATGGGTTGGTCCGTCCCCCACCGCTCTCGTGTGCTTTGAGTCCTTCCTGCAAAAAAAGTGGTAGTAAGCGCCACTGCCTTTGCGACGTGTAGGCCTCTCAAAGACCAACCTCGCCATGTCGGTCATAGATCGCGCGTTTCTATCATATAAAGGTATTAGGAGAGTTGAAAATCGTACAGAAAATAACTGATCCTAACCTCTGAATCGCTTAAAACTTCATAGGCTGGAGGCGGAAGGAATTGTGGTGAGGAACCCGGCAGGCTGACACACGACCACCGACGCGCACCTTGAGCGATCTCAGAGAACTTCTCCTCTGAGCCACCTTTATCTGGATGATGAGCTCTGCTGAGCTTCCGATAAGCCTTCTTAATTTCGGAATCGCTTGCGGACCTGGTCACTATTTTCGCCAACACAAGGTGTCAGACATTTTCAGGGAGAAGAAATAAACAGCAGTCTTACCTCCAAGGGTTTTGTAGTAATCGGCTCCGGCAACGACAATGACAAGAAGATAAGATAAAGAGAGTAGTGACCATAGTGAAAGTAACATCCTTGCAAGGCTCCCGCAAAGAGGGAGGAGAGGGCCCGGTTGGTATTTTGAAGGTGGGTGGGTTAAAGGTGCAGCGCCTGTCTGGATTGTAATGCGTGTCAAGTTCCACGTCGATCTTTCCCTCGCTGGAAGAGGCCGCCTAATTTCGAACATTTGGTCTGGTTTGTCCTTCGCGACCCATTACACTCAGGACTGCGCCGTATACGACTTGCTCATTGCTCTAACGACATCATCAACATGATTCTCCTCGAGGTAGGTTTTATCTCGCTCATTCGTGAGCATAGCGATGACATTCCTTTATTGGTAGCACGGCAACGCGATTATTCAAAAAACCCTCAGTGACAAGTTCGAAAAGCACGTCCCCTCCCCTCGACCTTGCGATCACGTTCATGTAAACTGATCATATGTGTATTAACCAGACCATCTGCTTTAGACGTGCAGTTTGTGGACTTTGATGGCGTTCGATATCACATGTGGACCCCAGAGAAGAAGACCGGAATCCTACTGTCGATGAACATCCGGTGCTGGGATGAGCTAGCGAAGTACGGTGCTTGGGACGTCTTGGGCAAAGAATATGGAGCATATCTGAAGCCTCCAGCTGCTGCAGAGCCTGGGTACAATGTTAGCTTAGAGCTTGACCTTGAGCAGGCACCAGATGACCCGGGTAAGAGCCCCTGACCCTGACTACCTTAAAGAGGTTGGAAAGCCATGCTAAACCCCGGCAAACGTAGAGGCTCGTGATGCTCTTGTCAAATCATTCTCCTTACTCCGTCGCCACGCCTTGGCTGCCCCATTTGTCAAAGCATTCCAAACGCAGAAACAACTTGACTCTTTACCCGATCCTACTGATGGCTCAGCCATACCTGGTGGCGAACTCATGGCAATTCATTATCGCGATCAAGAAGCCATTTATGTTCAAGCTAGTCACGACCGCGTGACCGTCATATTCTCGACCGTATTCCAGGAGGACACCGACCGAATCTTTGGGAAGGTGTTCCTTCGAGTGAGTACGCAATCCATCGAAGTTCCCCTCGTTTCTCGTTTCGCTACTGCGGTTGGGGGATGGTGCTTAGAAGCATTCCGTTTCTATTTAGGAATTCGTCGATGCACGCCGTCTTCCGACTATCCAGACTGCTCCTCAGGTTCTCTACTCGGATCGTGACCCACCTCCGAAGATTCGGGACGATCCAGCGTTGCCAAAAGCAGAAGATGTGGGATACGTCACTTTCGGTGGGTCCTTCAAACTTGAGCTTCACTTGGATAAGCAAGAAAGCAGCTGATTATTCCCTCTTGCGAAAGTTCTCTTCCCTCGTCACTTCACGAATCCGATCACTGCGGAGGCTACCATCTCCCATATTCAGCTATTCCGTGATAATTTGCACTATCACATCAAGTGCTCTAAAGTATATATGCACACCCGAATGCGTGCAGGTGTGGCCGAGTTTTTGAAGGTTCTAAACCGATCCAAGGTTGAAGTTGCGGGAGAGCCCGTAAGGAAGACCGTTACGTACGTCTTTGCTCTTCGGTTTCCGTTTTGTTGTAGACCTCAACTGATTGTGCTCTATGTAATTTCCCGACGTAGTGGACGCACTTTCTCATCAAGGTAACATCCGAGACCCGACATGTCGCCAAGTCATGCAATAGTCGAGGCTGTACATCTTTATTCGAACCTTGGAACGTGGATTATAGTGTGAAGCCAGTGGACCGGCTCAGTTCCTTGTGCATGGCTCTAATCCCCTCCCGACGCACCGTTCGTGTGTCTGCAATACTCCTCCCCTATAGAGTCATGCTTCCACAGGCACGTGAATCAACAACAACAGGTCCACAGAATGATCTAGGATGGAAGGGGCAGGATGGAGCGTTGCGTTGGAGCGACCCAGGCATGTTGCCTGTCCTGTGGGCTCTCGACACTTTGAGGAGCTCCTAAGATTCAAAGGGAAAAGGCGCACGGGTCGAGCGGGCCGTGTGAGTCACTTCTTGGGATTGCGCAGCTTAAATAGTTGCTGTCGGCAGTCTTTGCCGACCACAACTTCCTTCAGACAAAGGATCGCTCGGGACTGAAGTCAAAATATCGTCGGAGAAACCATAATCATGGTTTAAATCACCTGTTCGAGGGATGCGATGGGGTGGCGATAAGATAGAGCCGTGCTTCCCAATACTCTGTAAAGTCATGAAAGCGTGCCCCGATAGATCGAGACCCCGGTGCCAGGGAAGCATTGCCATGGATGCTTCCAGAGTATTGTCGTCATTCATGGTGCAGAGACCCGGTGCAGGGCGTTGTGAATGTCAGCTGAGGCCAGGCTCGAATCGGCGCTGCTGTCGGATGTGAGCTGACAGGCAGCATTCGTTGCCATGTGCGGGGGTTCAGACGTGCCCAGCCTTTAGAGCTTTGTGAGCGAGCCGGTATTGATGTACTCCTACCGACGGTTATCGGCTAGAGCTCTATGGGACGGCGGTTCATGATAGCGCCGGTCCACAGCCGAAGTGTCCAGAAAGTTGAAGAATGCGGGGAGAAGGGAGAATTCGGATCCAGTGACTGCACAAGGGCTGAACGGGGTATCTTGGACCCATGGGGAGTTCACCCAGCTCAGAATCAGACTTGGGACTGGAGCGTGAATCTCTATTGCCAACTTTCTTCGACCTGGAGTTTCATCTGACACCCTGATAGCGGAATATCGCGAATCCAGGTAGTTCAGGCTTAACCTAAGTCGTCGTGGAAGAAGACCCGGGCCGCAGAGAGACGGGAGCATCCTGGTCGAGACTGACTTACACTTGAAGTGTTTGTTGATGAGCGGGAGGGAGCCGGAGGAGAGAGCGGGGAGGTTTCGTGATGGCAAGGAACGGGGATGGCATGTGAATTCCCGCTCAGACTGAATCTTTAGCTGCCCCCTTCCCTGCATCCTCCCCCCAACTCACCACCCACCACCTCCCCTTCATATACCCTCCCCTCCGATTGCTCGCGACAGCAAACAGGGCGCATTGCGTCCAACAAGGAGCAACAGATGTTGT